GCTGTGGATGCCCTGGGTGCCCAGGCTCTGCACAGGGCAGCTGTGGCAGCCCAGGATGGAGCCATCCAGTTCTTGGTGTCTGAGCTGGGTGTGGATGTCAACGGGAGAGCGACGGCCCTGAGGATCCCGGCCCTGCACTACGCAGCCAAGGTTTGTCCCTGCTCCCAAATTCCCAAATTGGCAAAGCCATGCCAGGCACCCAAACTGGGCTGGAGGATTTGCATTCCTGGCTCCTCCTCTGCTCCTGGCCAGCCCCATTCCCTGTTWTCTGGGCATCAAGGGAAGTGTGGGTTCCTCCTCCTCTCCTCTGCTCTGGTGAGGTCCCACCCTGAGCACCAGATCCCAGCCCTGGATCCAACAGCACAAGGAGCTGGAGCTGCTGGAGAGAGCCCAGAGGRGRMCACGGAGCTGCTGCAGGGCTGGAGCCCCTCTGGGAGAGCTGGGAATGTTCCCCTGGAGAAGGGAAGGATCCAGGGAGAGCTTCCAGAACATTCCAGGGGCTCCAGGGGAGCTGGAGAGGGACTGGGGCCAAGGGCTGCAGGGACAGGACACAGGGAATGGATCAGAGTGGAAAAGGGGAGATTGGGGTGGGATCTGGGGAATTGGGAATTCCTGCCTGGGAGGGTGGGGAGGGGCTGGGATGGAATTGCCAGAGAATTCCTGGATCCCTGGCAGGCCAGGCTGGACATTGGGGCCAGGAGCACCCTGGGACAATAAGAGGTGTCCCTGCCATGGCAGGGGTGGCACTGGGTGGGCTCTGAGGTCCCTCCCACCCAGGAATTCTGAGTTTTTGCAGGGCAGGGACAGGAGTTGCCCACACGTGGGAAAGCAGAGCTGGGAGGGCGTGGGCAGCTCCCGGGTTTTTATCTGTGTCCTTCACACCAGCCCTGTTTGGAATTCCAGGCTGTGAGAACCAYTGGAGCTTTCTCCTCCTCCCAGCCCGTGTAGGGAGCAGAGCTGTGGGATTGCAGAGAGATCCCAAAACTTCCCTGCTGATCCCTCTGGGATCCTCCTGTCCCGGGATGTTAAATTTCATGATTTTAACATCACCCTGAGCCTGCTCTGGCCTCACAGCAGAAATAAAACCTCATCCCAGTGCTCTGCTCCCACAAAACCATCAGTGCCACTCCCTGGGAATGCTGGCAGCAGCGTTCTGCTCCAGCAGGATCCAGCCCTGCCCCACAAAGGAGCCCTTTCTCCCATTTTCCWGTCCTCCCGCTTGTTCAAAACCCTTCTGGTTGCCAAGGGTACGTGGGACAACGAGGCTTTGGGGTGAATATAATGTGCCTTGGAGAAAATCCCAGCTCTTGGCTGATTTGGGAATGGCTGGCTGGGATTCTGTCCCTTGCCCGGCCTCGGTGTCACTTTGTGTTTACAGCAGCGTTTGTTTGSCTGCTGGGTTGTGGTTTTATCTCCTTCTTTTCTGATTCCTTTGCATTTATAAACACGGGAAAAATCAAATTATTTTTTTTTCCAATTCAATTTGCTGCAGGGGCTGTGGCAGCTAAAGCAGTTCCAGGCTCCACGTCTGTGCCATGGAAAAGAAATGGGTTTGGAGGGAAATGGGATCCTTGAGAGCAGGGAAGATGCTGGGGAATCCWATGGGAATAGGGGGAAAGGGATAAAAATAAGAGCTTTCCATTCTCAGCCACAGGACAAAGACTAATTCATGGCATTGGGGACGTAATTCCAAAAACCAGGCGTGTTTTTTAGGGAGAAAGGGTTTATTTATGGCAAAGCCTGTGCAGAGAGGAGCAGGGTGGGGGCTGTGCTGTGGTTTTTTTCCYGGTGGAATTTGAAATTGGCTCCTGGCAGAGGAAGGAGGGAGGATCCTGTGGATCRTGGCTGGCTGTGCCTTCTCCCAGGGCATCACAAATCCCAGAGGAATCCTTTGGGAAATGCTGGTGCTGAGGGTGAGCAACAGCCCAGATCAGCAACAGGTTCTGATCCTTGAATTGGAATAACCCYGGGAAGGGCAGCTCCAGATCCCCTGGGATTGGGAGGGACTGGAAACTGAAAGTTGGAGAGAGCTCAGAGCCCCTTTTGGGGCCTGAAGGGGCTCCAGGAGAGCTGGAGAGGGACTGGGGCCAAGGGCTGCAGGGACAGGACACAGGGAATGGATCAGAGTGGAAAAGTGGGATCTGGGGAAGGAATTCCTGCTTGGGATGGAATTCCCAGAGAATTCCTGGATCCCTTTGAGTGCCCAAGGCCAGGCTGGACATTGGGGCTTGGAACAACCTTGGGTAGGGAAGGTGTCTCTGCCCATGGAATGGGGTTGGAATTATAGAATCTTTAAGGACTTTTCTAACCCAAACCATTCAGGGATTTTATGAAGCTGCCTCATGGCATCTTTCTGACCAATTCCCACGGGATTTTGGGATATTCCCAGCAGCTGGATCAATCCCTGCCTCATGGACCTGACCTCCCCTGCCCCAGGCAGCAGATCCTGATTTCCACCTGCTCCAGGATCCTCTGGCACCCCTGGATCTGACCAGGACAGAGCAGATCCCTCCATKGCAGGTCAGGGATGGATCAGAGAGCAGAGCTGATCCCAAATTCTGTATTCTGCAGGAAGGACATGGCCACACCATCCAGACCCTGCTGTCCCTGGGTGCTGATATCCAGGCTAAGGATGGCAAAGGCCGTTCTGGTAAGAATTCCAAGCTGCTTTTCCAAGCTTTGGATCATCCCAATGTTTTTTGGGCATTTTGCATTCCCTGTTTTTTTCACCCTGCTGGAGCTTTTCCCTCAGGGGAAGAACAGAGACACAAATTGGGATTTTCTTTCACTCAGCTGCTTATTTTTCACATAACACTGCCTCCTCTCCCTCAAATTTTCCTGGAATGAGCCTGTTGGGAGCAGCTTGGATGGACAAACRCAAGGATTGAGCTCTCCAGCCTCAATTCCTTAGCAAACAGCCTGGAAAAGGCTGATGAGCAAATCAAACTGGAGAGCTGGCACGTAAATAGAGTTGCTATAGCGATGCCAGAGAGTCGGCATTCCCGGCGGGAAAGGCTGAGGCAGCTCTTGCATCAGCATCTCCCCCCCAAAAAAAACTTAAAAATAAAACAAAAAGGACAAATGGTTTGAGCAATTGCCAAAATTGGCGACTTTCCCAGCGCTGGGGTTTGGATAAAGCCCCATTTGAGCGCTGCCAGCTCTCCCTCCGCCCCCTCCATGACTAAATCCCAGCTCTGCTGAGCTCATCCAGCCTTGGGATGTTTTTCCATGGCTCCTCCTTTCCTGGGTTTGGGTCACTGCGTCCTTGGGAAGCTGCTCATCCTCATCAGGCACCTGCACGATTATCCTGAGGGATGGGGATGCCTCGTTGGGATTAGATGGGAGGGAGGTTTTGTACAGTGAGTGGGGAGGGACTGGCAGAGG